GTCAGGTCGTCGGCGTATAAGTATATGTTGGTGTTGGGGGGATGTGGGATGTCGGAGTTGTAAATGGTGTATAGGTGTGGGGACAGGACGGTGCCCTGGGGGACACCGGCCTCCATGGGACGGGTGGTGGAAAGGGAATCTTGGATTTGGATGCGGAATTTTCGGTGGTGTAGGTAGGATTTTATGAGTTTGGTAAAGGATATGGGATATTGGTTGGTGAGCATTTTCATCAGTAGGCCTTCATGCCAAACCGTATCGAAGGCCTTTGCGACGTCCAGGAAGACAGCACCAGTGTACTGTCCCCTGTTGAAGGCCGCCGTGATGTGCTCGGTAAGGCGAAGGATTTGGAGTTCAGTGGAGTGATTGGGTCGGAAGGCGAACTGCTCGTCTGGAATGACTTGCAGTTCTTGGGAGTGGGTTCTTAGACGGGTTAGGATAATTTTTTCTACCACTTTGCTCATAGCCGGGAGCAGGCTAATGGGCCGGTAGTTGGATGGGATGGTGTGATCTTTGTTGGGTTTTGGGATAAGGATTATGTTTGCTGTTTTCCAGCGGGTAGGGAAGTGTCTTAGTCTGAGTGTCGCGTTTGTTATGTTTAGTAGGGCCATGAGGCCCTTGTGTGGTAGTCGTTTAAGTGTCGTGTTATGTATATTGTCGGGTCCGGGGGCTTTTCTGTTTTTAAGTCTGCGTATTGTCAGTCTTAGTTCGTCAGGTGTTGCGGGGGGGATTATGTCATTGTCTGGCTCTCTGTCGACGCGTCGGGCCGCGCGCTCAGCCACTAACTCGAATTCCTCGTCTTCGTCGGGCAGCTGAGGCAGTCTACACTGCAGTTCCAGGCTATCGGCGAAAGCCTCGGCCTTTTCCTGGTTCGTGTAAACCACCCCCACACTACCGTAGATTGGAAATTTGACACACATCTGTATCTGTAATTAATATGTGTTAAATAAACTAACAATACTTTCCTACAGCCTAAAACAAATGTCGACTAAGGATAATAATTTGACTGCTTAACAGTTTCGACCTTATTTTTTGTGATATGTAATACTATTTTCAAACTAATTTTACTCGAAAACAAAGCAGTTTATCGAAAGAGTATCTTTTTCATTGTAAAGTTGTCCAAAATTTTAATTTCATAGGTCAAACTGCGAATATCTCACAAGAAAAAAAAAGTTAGGGCAATATTTAGTCACATACGCCTATGACCACAAAACATATAATACAAGAAGGTCGTTTTCATAATACCAAAATCGAAACACCACTGACATTAAAGGACAACAACTGGCTCCCTCACTGTGTCTGGCCGCCCAAAAAAATGGAACTAAAGATAGCCGAGACGATAATAATGATTACTTTATAATCTACCGCAGGTAAAACAGATGCCAATTTGCACGGGCTTTTGAAAATACATTCTAAGGGTCGTATGACACTATGCTAAAATTATAACTAATTTCAGTAATTAACTACGAACTTTTTAATCTTGTAAGATTAAAAAGTTCTTAGTTGATTACTGAAATTAGTTCTAACTTTAGCATAGTGTCATACGACCCTAATATTACTTCCTTTTAATATTTAAAAATATATACGATATTACGATTTATAATGGTAAAATCGTATTTTACTCGTTTAAATAAAATTAAAATAGAAACTGCAAAATTTATAAAACAGTATTTATTAGCAATTTTAATGTGGTTATTAATGTTATAAAGAGGGATAATCCCCTCGATTCCAAATCATTGAGGCTAATTTCTAGCCATGGAATAATGGCGCGGTTATTAATGTTGCATACAAACAAACAATTCTATTCACAAACTTTATATTTTCTGTTAAACCTGTTTTCTAAACACACAAACAAAATGGAAAGTTGACGGATAAAAAACAATCTTTTAAGAATATGAATGTTTAGACATCANATTTTACGCACTTTGGCTCAGCTGTGCACCGGGTCTGGCCGTGGCCGAACCGCTGGCACCGGTGGCACTGTGTGGCAACCCGCTGCTTTCGCTGCAGCTCTACTCGAACCACGAGCGAGCAGCAGCGGGTTACCTTCAGGATGTCCTCCCGGTCCTGTGGGGCCTGAACTAGGACCAGGGGCATTTCCTGTTTATTTTGACGGCGAAAACAAAGCAGTTTATCGAAAGAGTATCTTTTTCATTGTAAAGTTGTCCAAAATTTTAATTTCATAGGTCAAACCGCGAATATCTCACAAGAAAAAAAAAGTTAGGGCAATAATTAGTCACATACGCCTATGACTATTTGAGCAAAATTATTACTACACTACAAATTTTTTAAAGTTGTACTTTGGCGCCAAAAGTTGTACATGTTAGCCAACATATAGTGTACAAAATAAAATGGTCCCAAAACAACACTGATGTGCATGTTTCATGGTTATTTTCACAGAGATTGAGGTTAATGTGTATTTAAAAAAAATTTTTTTCGGAAATGAGTTTATTACCTAAGTCTAAAGAGGAATTCAGTCAAAAGGAGTATTGGGACACATTCTTTAAAAAAAGAGGTTCAAAAGCATTTGAATGGTAATGGTGTCATAAAGTATAATATAGTATATATAGTATATTTTTTATTTTTGAAGGTATGGAGAATATCCCGATTTATCAAGTGATTTGCACAAATATATTAAAACTCAAGACAATGTTCTCATAAGTGGTTGTGGAAATTCTACTTTGGGTAGAGATTTATATGACATTGGATTTAGGTAAATGAAATTATAGTAATTAACATTAATTATTCCGACTATTTTAGGAACATAACAAATATTGATATATCCGAAGTTGTAATAAGGCAAATGTCTCAAAATACTAGAGAAAGAGATGATTTAAAATATATACAAATGGATGCGTTGTCTATGAGTTTTGATAATGCTCAATTTTCTGTGGTTGTAGATAAAGGTACCTTGGATGCTTTAATGCCAAATGATAGAGCTGATACTCTTTCAAAGGTAAACCAATATTTTACCGAGATTCAGCGAGTGTTAAAGTCTGGAGGACGCTACATTTGCATTTCTTTACTACAAGAACATATTTTGAAATCAATTTTAAATTATTTTCCCAAAAATAACTGGATGTTTAGAGCAACTAGATGTTTTGAAGTAGAAAAGCGAGCATTAGAAAATGGAGAAAATTCAATGCCTGTTTTTTTTGTAGTATGTACTAAATTTACAGCTTTACCAAGAAAGGTAATTTTGAGATCTTTCCAAAAAATCAGAGTTTTAAATTAATTTCTAGGTTCTCGAATTAAATTTGGGCTCACTAGATAAAATGCAAAGATTTGAAAATGAACAAGACATAATCCTCCATATTTCAAGTGTGCAGCAAGCTGCATTTGTGTGTTCGGGACTTAAAAGGTCTTCCATTGCAAATGAAAATGAAGTTGTTTTAGATTTATTTGAACCATGTGAGACAAAGCCTAGGTTCACGGTTCATGTTGTAGATATAGTTCCCCAACATAAAAATTCTCAGTATGCTGCTTTTATAGTACCACAAGGAAGGTAATATGTTGTAATATAATATTATATACATAACCATTATCTATGAATATTCTCATTAAATTATTTAGGGAAGTTGAGTGGCTGTTTTCTACAAAAGCAGGGAGGAAACATTTAGTAACAATGACTAACCACAACAGACTGGCAATAATAACATTACATAGGGGCCAAAAATATGAATCATTTGAGGCAGTTCAGAAGGAATTAACCGAAACTGTGTGTAACTTAGCCCCTTCATCATTAAATAACAAAAAGGTTTGTGGATTATATGTAGTTTTGTGACAGACTAATAACTCAGTTGTTTATTTTGATTATACTCGGCGGCCGAAATTATAAAGAGTGACTAATACATAATATAAAAACACTATTACCATAATGCGTATAAAATATAAAATGATTTGTATACGGTTCAATATTATTTATCTTTGTGCCGCTCGCCATGCACATCGGTAGAATCTATAATCGTGTATAGACTGAGTTACACTGAACTTCGATCTATATTTTATCTCTGTCTTTTGCACTTGGTAGGGAATAGGGAAATGCTTTTTTAGTGGGTATAAACGGACTTGATTTGCCCGACCTGAGAAACGTCAGCATAAGCATAGACGAGGGGTCTAATTCCATGGCTATAATAAATTTATAAATTAAAAAAACACAACTGGGACGTTTTAAAATGCTGTAATAATTAAAATTAATCAAAGTGCCGGTTATAGCAAACCGTAAAAAATATTAGATGTTATGTTTTATTATGTTGTTTCAATATTTTCTATATCTTGTTGCCTTTTACGCAGACACGCCAATGGATTTTCGTTCCCGGCACGCTTTATCCCCATTACTAGTCCAAAAGCTAGCGATGAATCACTGTCTATAATTTTGGCCGTCGAGTATAGTTAATAAATTTGTTTACGTAGAAATCGGTAAATTATTATTAATGTTATTGTTATTATTATTTATAGATTTTATTTCTTTCTCTTGGATCTGATGTAGGGCAGAGAGTTATAAAATTTGAGGGGCATTCAGAATATTCTGGAGATTATATTATTGAAGATGTAAAAGTAGATAATGGGGAAAAATTTAGACGATTATTTTATAAAAATTCTCAATTAGTTATTCAGTCTGAAGCAATGTTAAGAACAGTAAAATCAAGAAAAGGGATTACAAAAGAAATTGTGGACTTAACATATTTAACATGTAACCATCACATTTATATGAGTGTAGCAGCACACGTAGCCTGCAGGGATAAGAAGAAGTCTACTGTTGTTGTAGTAGGTCTGGGTGGTGGAGGTTTATGTTCGTTTATGCATAAATTTTTGCCAAAAACAAATATAATTGCTGTCGATATAGATAAAGATATGTTGAAAATTGCAACGGACTGGTTTGCATTCCAGCAAAATGATAAAGTTACTACAAAAATTCAAGATGGTTTACTTTATTTGAAAGAAACATCCGAGAAAGGTAAATAATTTCTTTTTTTTTTAAACATGTAATGTCATTATTAGCCCATTTTAATCTGTCTGCCAAAAAAAATTTAAATGTTTTATACAGAATATTTTTAAATAAATGTAGGATACGTTATACATTCTGTCAAAAAAGTATCCGGAATTTGTCATTTAAAAATTCCACATATAGTATATTTAAATTTCTTTTTTGATAGAAAGTCGGTAGTACTGTAGTCTATTCTGACACGAAATTTGAGCATGATCTGTCATGTTTACAACTGTTAATTTTGTTAGTCCACCTATAGTGGCTTCCACGTTTTTACTATGGATAATGTTATTGAACAATGAGTTTGCTAAAAATTTTGTGCTATCCATTGGTAGTACAAGAAATTCCATTGAATTGTTGAAAATGTTGGGAAAGACGTACAGTAATTCAGTTTTGTCGAAAACCCTATTTCAGTATGAAACGTGTTGCAGCCCGGCTGATTCTAAAAGAGCTGAATTTTCTTTAAAAAAAGCATTGCAAACCCGTTGCTGAAGACATGCTTAAATGAGCTCTACGTTCATGCAACACATCATAATGGGTGATGTGACATGGGTTTACGAGTTTGACATGCAAACGAGTCAGCAAGCTTCAGAATGGCGCTTTTCTAATGAGCCGAAGCTAATCTAAAAAACCACGTTAAAGTCGATCAAAAATCAAAGTCATGTTAACTGTTTTCTTTGACTATTATGGTGCTGTCCACATAGAATTCCTTTTGGATGGAGAGACAGTCAACAAAGAATATTATCTGGATGTAATGAGGCGTTTGAGAGAGAATATCCGTCGCAAAATACCAGATTTATGGAAGGGCAATTCTTGGATTTTACACCACAAAACGATATTTGTGAATGAAATTTTTGACTAAAAACTCAACGAAAACTATCGAGCAGCCACCGTATTCACTGGATATAGCCCCTGCTAACTTTTTCTCCTCTTCACCAAACTCAAATTACCACTTTGTGGAACACGTTTCGAGTCCATCTAAGCAGTAAAACAAAAATTACTTACGGAGTTGAAGTCCATATTGGAACATGTATTTAAAAAGTGCTTTGATGACTGGGTTGTTCGTTGGAGAGGGTATTGCTTCAAATGGAGCCTATTTTAAAGGAGACAAATAAATTTTGAAGATTAATGGAATATTAGTGCTTTATTGACAAATTCCGGATACTTTTTTGTAAGAACTTATTTATATCTTACAATATTTATTTTTTAGGAGAAAAATTTGATTGTATTCTATTTGATGTAGATAGTAAGGATAGTTCTGTGGGAATGAGTTGTCCCCCCAAGCAATTTTTAGAAAATGATGCTTTAAGTAATGTTGCTAAAATTATTGCTGATACAGGTAATTTAAGGAGTTTTTGCAAACAGTAAATACGTAATTTACCATTGTATGTTTTAGGTTTATTTGTTTTAAATGCAGTGTTGAGGGATCAGTCTGTACGTCCATCTGTACTAAATAATCTAAAGAGTCATTTTGAAACCGTTGTGTCATATAAATTAGAGGAAGACTTAAATGAAATATTTATTTGCTGTAATTCAAAAATCTATATGGATCATCTGAAAGATTCTTGCACACAAATCAACAATTTCTTTAAGAAAAATAATTCAAAGAGTAATAATGTTGATATAGATATGTTTATGCAATCACTTGTAATGCAGTCTTTGTCATTAAAAACTTGATATTTATTGTTATAATTACCTTACAAGCCATGTGACCAGTAATTTTGTTTGGAACAGTAATTTTATTTCTAGCGTTGACAATTAAATTTTGGTATAATTAAAACAATAGCATCAAGACTACATTAAACCACAACATTCTGTTTTACCGGCTGGTGACTGGTGTAATTTTTATTTTTTCAACCAATTCATTGTTCATTGTAAACGAATCATTAATATTGGTGATGCTAAGATTTAGGGATCTGTAGTCAACTACCAACCGTGAAATGTTGGTTGCCTAAGCTTGGCCGTCATGTGGCTTGTATTATTTTGAAGGCACTATATAATACTCGTATATGACTGAATACATTATTGAGCAGTGTTTACTAGTAACAACCGGTTATACAGGGTGTCTACAAAATTGAAAATTATTTTTTGATGATAACATCTTTTAATATTAAACTATATGATAAAAGTATAAAGCAATGATATATAAATACTGATATCATTTAACAAAAGTGTGAACATGTTAAAAACTGCTGGAGAGATGACACGTCTCATGATACACATCACAGCAAATTTTTGATGTCCGGGAACACATACACGAGTTCATCGAATTAAATATCACGCATCTTATCAAAACTTCCTACCAATATAGTCTATAATGCAACTTCAATCGAAAGTAGTATCTTTTCATCTACTTTTCTATTATGCATTCAATTTATAAATATCCCTGTAAATGAAAGTCTAAAAGATTTAAGTCTCCACAATTAGAGGTCAGTAAAAAATTCAGTATTTAAATATTCTTACACAGTATGAGAGTAATGAGATTGAGCCTCGTGATGATGTACATTGAGAATTGAAAGAAAGAAAGAGCTATAGGTATACATTCATTTTACACATTACATTGAAGTAAGCGATGACGTTTGATAAGCAAGTGACTGGGAAACTATTGAAGTAGATTGAACGTCATCCAAAGGACTAATATATACAAAATGTCATTTTTTCTAAAAGTTTTGTTTTTGTTTAATAATTTTCTTCTATTAATATATCTATTAATTCCATTCGTGAGGAGACTACCTACCTTCCAATAATATCCCCAATAAAATGCGGATCTTTCCATAGTAGCTGTTTTTTACATGCTCAGTTTTAAGATGATTACATTATTTAACAGTTTTATATATACAGGCTGCTACAAATTCGCTTCTCACTACAGGGATCTCGGAAATGGTAAAAGCTACGAAGTAGCTTATATTGGGGCAAAGTTGCGTAATCAGGGGACCAACATTATGCCTCTAAAAAATCAAGGCTAACATGATTAGTTTTCGAAATATTTGAAAAAAAAAACGTAATTTTAGAAATCCGTTTTTGTTTCATTCCAGCCTTGTTTGAGATGATATTGAAAAAAGAAGAACACTTTCTCATGGCGACTTTTTGCCCTCTATCGAATGACAATCAATTTTTATATGTAACGTTTCGTCTCTTCAGGACCATCATCAACTTAATTTTTTTAAATACGACCCTGGAAATTTTATTACATTATTTGCAAGCCTTTATGACCCTCAATACTGTACTGCCTCAGCCCGAACCAGATTCAGACGTTTTGTCTCGAAAAATTCATCTTCAGTGTATTCGCTCCAAATTTATTTAAATTTTTTATTTAGATTTCTTTGTTTATTGAATTATCGTACACTGTAAGTGTCGTTAGACCCTGTGAAATCCATCTAGTTATTTAAACTATTACCACCACGCGTTACAATAAAACATTTATTATTATTAACTATTATACCATCACTTGGTCATACATAACTGAATAAGTTGTTGCGTCAAAATTCAAACAATATGACAATTTTAATTTTATTACGACAAATTCATTCTTAAAAATGCATATGAACAACCAAAACACCAACTTAATATTATTCTTTAAAAAATTTCAGTAAATGTTCAAAAACATTTTCGTTGTGGCAAAAAAATGAAGATCTGCGTAATATTATCAGAATTTATTATATCTGTAACTGCAACTGTAAAAGAGCATGACATATGTATTTGTATGAATATCCTGAAAAAAATAGATCGGAATTTGTTTGAATTTTGAGCAATCGAGAAGCCTAGAAATAACTATGGATGCGGGAATAAAACTATAATAATGGATCCTGGAGAGACGAAACGTTACATATAAAAATTGATTATGCCATTCGATAGAGGGCAAAAGTGGCCATGAGAAAGTGTTCTTCTTTTTTCAATATCACCTTAAATAAGGCTGAAATTAAACAAAAACGGATTTCCAAAATTTCGGTTTTCTTCAAATATTTCCATAACTAATCATGTTAGCCTTGATTATTTAGAGGCATAATTTTGGTCCCCTGATTGCGCAACTTTATTCCCATTTAAAATACTTCCACCTCTTACCGTTTCCGAGATCCCTGTAGTGAGAAGCGAATTTGTAACAGCCTGTATATATCAAATATGTGTTTTTGTATTAATTATCTCTAGACATCATTTTTAGTTTTTATTTTATATAATTATTTATTATTACTTGCTGGTGTAACCAATGCTACTTGGGACATATAGCCGATATTGTTTTTTTTCCTGCAATATCAACAGTCGTTTGTGGGATTAGATATTTTTTGCATACCTAGATTATTGATATGGAATATTGTTTGATTTAATATTAGAAAAAAAAAATTGAATTTATGAGAATCAGCTTAATTTAAAACAAAATAAAAAGCTAGTAGTAGAATATGTTTTATTAAAATAAAACATGAATATAGTAGTAAGTAAACCATTATCTTTGTTTAAAAATTGGTCAGTTTGGTATATAACATAAAATATCCTATTAAGTGTCCACAATATTAGCTCAAACACTAATGGAAGAATGATATAAAAAAATAGTATGGCACAATACAAACAAGAAAAAGTATTCAAATTATTAATCGATATTTTTCTTTCGCCTGCACTGTTTATATTTTCTGCATGAAACCGTTACCGTATCTTTGGTTACTTTGTCGACATTACTGGTGATGTACTAATACTTTTCCTTACCGAGAGCTACATAATATAGATAAAAGAAAAATTTTTAATATTCGGTGGTATTAATAAAAGAATGATCAGTCGAGTAGAGTTTGCTTTAGATATTGGGCCAAATAGTAAGCAAGCCGTGTTAGTAAGCCGGACAGGACTAGACCCTAAATATATTTTCTTGCCATGTCTTTGACTAAAATAAATGTTTAGCATTGGTTCTTTTCTTAGTACCATTTAAAAATAAATCTCCAAGTTCATAAACATTTATGTAACTAACAAACAGAAGTATAAAAAAGCAGATTTATCATTAAATCATTTATTATAGTTAAATATATGAAATACAAAAAGAAATGAAGTAAATAAATATAAATATTCATCAATAGTATACCCATTTTTAATTTAAACTTGTAAGTTCTAAAGCTAATAAAGAAAAGAATTCTTCCCGAGGTAGCATCTCAATAGTAGCAATTCCAAAATCACCTTTACTTTGCCAGTCGAGAGGTGAAACCTTCTAAAGTAGAATGTTAGATATGTATTTAAATTATGAAAAATAAAATCAATTCTAAAATAATTTTTTTCTAGCTTTCTGAAAAAGCCTCTGTGTTGTTCGAATTACAAAATACCAGTTTTTTTCTTAAGTATCTTAGGATATTAAAACAAAGGTTTTTATTTCAGTTTATAGAAAAATAAATGCAACAAATTATTAAGGAATCTCAGAACATTAAATAGGTATATTTAATTGGAGATCTATATAGAAAAATAGTTGATAGAAAAATATAAAATATGTAAAAATTGATCTAATCTAAGAATAATATTGTTCTACTTCACCCAATAGTTTTGCAAAACTTTCCTCATCTATTAAAACAAATTGCTTTGCAGATCTGCTAAAATAATAAACCTCTCCAGTGTAGATATCAAACCAGAGAGCATGTATATGTAATTCGTGCTTTTCCAGACGGCTTTTAAGAAATCCATAACTAGCTATGTTCTGCAACTGCTGCAGGGTATTTATCTGAGATAATTTGTCTTCTATATTAAATTTGTTTTCAGGGTCAATGTATGCAACAAACTTCCTTAGTGGGGTTTCGGCTTGAAAAATCAGTGGTTTGCTGTAATCCGTTAATTCTAGTTGTTGGAACTTCTCTAAACTTGAAAATGCATGCGTGCATAACCATGCTCTGAGGGGAGAGATTCTTCTATTATCCTATAATGTACAAAATAACGTGTGGTTCTATGTTCTACTTACATTCACGAAGGTATAAAGATATTTAAATGAGAGTAAAAATGCATCAAAAGTACATATTGGGTTGCTAACTTTTAAGGACAAAGCAGCTTAAAATTCAGGATAGGGGCAAAAAAATTAAGAATATTTTTATTTTATTTACAAACCAACCAATATTATACATTTTGTAATAACAAAATGAGTGCAAAAATATATATTTTTCGTTATTATTTTAAAATGTTTCTACCACAATAATACCGCCGTTGAGTGAAATCTCCAAAAATATCCCAACCCTAACAATTTTATCTGGCTTGAAAGAGAATTTCACTGTGCACAAGTCAAAGCAATAAAATACAGTGTGTTCTTAACTTAAATACATTTAAGTTAAGAAAGTTATAGCTGTCTGACTTTGCAAAAATGTAACGGCGAGAATGAAACGCTTGGTATTCTAAGTTATTAGCGTCAACCAAGTTCTTTACAAATACCAAAAATCAGCTTGATATTGATTTCCTGGGAAACGTTGAGGAGACCTCTGCCAACCCTAGCATACATCAATTTTTTTTTTTTAATTTATATCGAAATCTATTCCGGAAAAAAATTTAGAAATTATCAATAAAAAACATTTTTTTTATACACCTATTCCGAAAACGAAGCATTTGCGGACCTACGTTTATAGAACTTTTTTTCGTATTTTTGAATGTAGAATCTGCTCTAAAGAAATGCTCTAGAATCTGAAACATTTTGCAACACGTGTTATATGTGGCAATTAAGAAAAAATTGGTTTTAGTGTTTTCTCTCTCCCATAAACTATCAAGAATTACTCAGACTAAGACACTTCCCTACCCGCTGGAAAACAGCAAACATAATCCTTATCCCAAAACCCAACAAAGATCACACCATCCCATCCAACTACCGGCCCATTAGCCTGCTCCCGGCTATGAGCAAAGTGGTAGAAAAAATTATCCTAACCCGTCTAAAGCCTGTATCAGACAATGCAATTTTGTTGCGGCTACAAAATTGCGGGGATTTTGTTGTGGGAGTAAAATTGCATGCTTATTATCACACAATGGGACAGAATTGCTGCATTTTATTTAGTTTGTAGAAGTGTTACCAACTGCGCATTATAAACTACCTACTACTTTTAATTTAAGATTCAAGCAAAACATTGTTATGGATGATACTTCTAAAATAAATAGCTGTATAGCTTTAATAGCGGCTTCAACAGTGTTACTAACAACAGCTATAATATCAAGACGATGGTGGGTTCGACCGTGGATTTTAAAACGCTCTCAAGGCTGTTTAAACCTGGTTAACGAAGAATTTCAACTATGCAAAGATTTGGGTAGTTTTAAAAATTATCTTAGAATGGATAAACCGACATATGAAAAACTTTTAAGTTTAGTAAAAAATGATATCCAAGTTCAAAGCACACACATGAGAGAATCTTTGAGTGCTTCTGATAGATTAACAATAACTTTAAGATTTTTAGCCACAGGAGAATCATATCAAAGTTTACATTACACATTTAGAGTTGGTCAGTCTACTATATCTGAATTTATTCCTGTAGTGTGTAAAGCTATTTATAATAATTTAAAGGAGTACTTAAAGGTGAGTGAAAACAAAATATTAATAAATCACTATTACTGTGACTGTTTCTTTAGGTCCCTAATACTGCAGCTCAGTGGCTAAACATATCCCAAGAATTTTATGAAAAATGGAATCTTCCAAATGTCTTAGGTGCTATGGACGGGAAGCACATATTTTGAGCCCCACGTAGTGCTGGTTCTGCATATTACAATTATAAGCAACAACACAGTATTGTGTTGTTGGCAGTGGTGGATACAGACTATAAATTTTTATATGTTGATTGTGGAACAAATGGCAGAATATCAGATGGTGGAGTATTCCAAAGAAGTACATTATCTGCTGCTATATCCAACAATAGATTAAACTTCCCAGCTGAATGCCCGTTACCAGGAAGAACAATGAATGTGCCATTTGTTTTAGTAGCCGCTTCAGCATTTCCTTTATCTAGAAACATTTTAAAACCATTTCCATTTCGCAATATGACATGGCCACAGAGGGTATTAAATTATAGATTGAGTCGCTGTTGTAGAGTAGTTGAAAATGCCTTTGGCATAATAAGTAATAAATGGAGTTTTATTAACTGTTATGAATTTGTCACCTGCAAAAGTTGAACTAATTACACTGACATGTTGTGTTCTTCATAATTTTTTAAGAGTAAACTGTGCATTGCCATGCGAGGGGGAAGATAATGCTGGAATAGATCGACATTTTACTTTTCGTTATGGTTTAAGCCAACAGGGTGGAAATAGGCCAATGAGGCATGCCATCGATTTTAGACAAGAGTTTATGAATTATGTAGTGAACGAAAGCATGGCAAAATGACTTAGCGTAGCTTGTTATAAATTAATTTTGAATAGAAATTTTATTTATGAAGTTTGTTGTATGTTACTGATCCCCACTTGCCCCTCGTACCTGTTATAATTTGAAAAAATGATTGCTTTAAAATAATATATAATAAAATTCTAGTTTGTACAACTATTACCTGGAGAAGTGTTTCTTTTGACGAGTTGTAGATTATAATTACCACGAGTGTTGTATATAATGTTTGTTGCAGAACATAGGAGTTTGCTTTTGACTATGATAAGCAGTGTTAATAACATTAAAACGATAAAACTAATCTTGGAAAGTCCTGAGAATCAACCTACATTACTATGGTTTATTATAAATACCTATCATTAGTAATAAAAAATGAAGTCATCCATATTAACCTAAGATATAAAAGTTATTCTTGCTTTATTTCATAGAATTTATTTGAATTTACATTTACAAATCATGTAATCATAAAACTTTAATTTGAATCATTATCTTGGGCATCTATTACTAAATTAAATATGTGTCTTTTTGTTTCCCGTAAAATATGAGGGTTTTTAATTTCGCCTAATTCTGTAGCTATTGTATATCCAAATGCACATATGTCATTACTTTTTTTCACTGTAGATGCTAATACTTCTGATGCATGTTCTATTACAGACATAGCTTTCGTTTGTAATGTACAGCGACGTTTTCTTCGCACTGCTGTCGATGGCCGTGATGTTGATGGGGTCGCTGACGAATCAGTTTCATACTGAAAATTATCCAGATCTTCTACGAAGCCATCAAATACTATGTCACTGTTTTCTTGGTCTTTTTGAGGGCCATCTTCAGTAATCTCTGTATTTTCATCTAAATTGGATATCGACTCCCTTACCGGAGCAGAGTCCTTCAAAAAAGATAATAACTGATAACTCCATAATTTAGGTAGATATATGTCATCTGTACCACTTCCACTTGTATAGCTTGCTTTAAGTTTTGCGAGTTCCTAAAATAAATAGCCATATTAAAAAAAAGGGAACAGTGAAACTATTGATTTACCATAAAATATTGAGATCTCAAGCCATGAATATTTCTATTTACTTCTTCCTCTGTGACATTTTCTATTAACTTGCTTTCTTCTAATGCATTTTTTATCAATTTAATAGCTGCTACCCTCTTCGTTGTATTTTTATAATCAGCGTGAGTAGTTTTATATAAATAAGGATGACTTTCATAGAGTTCAATCAACCATTTTGTTGCTTCGCGAGACCAGTCTATTTTTGGGGCCATTATTCAATCCAAAAAACTTAATGACGACAGAAATAAAGACGCTAATATTTTTTAAAACGTAGAACGTAAAAGTCCACAACCACAAAACATAACCAAATAAATGTAAATCACACTAATATTCATTTTTCCACAGGTCTACCAACTTTAAAATACAGGTTGGTAATAAACAAATCTTCATAAAAGCAACTAGAATCCCTGCAATTTTGTTGCACAGAATAGAGCATGTTCTAATTAATGCAATTCAGTTGCCGCGACAGAATTGCATAGTCTGATAAGAAAAATTTCATGGATTCTATCGCGGCAACCAAATCCCTGCAACAAAATTGCAT